AGGAAAGGTACATTACAAGGAAACATTTTTCTTGCTTAAAAGGTAAGTAGTCAGGTTTCACCTTCTACCATTACATGTTTGTTTATATGGAACTGCTTCCACGTTCATTTCTTCAGTCCTGCTAAATCAACCTTGAGGTCAAGACTCTGACTTCTGAGATTGACGTCAGATTAGAAAGTGCTGCACTCTACTCAGTTTCAGTTCTTTATTCTGTTGTCTTACACTGCATGAGGGAATTCAATCATTACTGAGCTTAACACAAACACTATCAGTTACAGGATGTTGCTTTTGAATACTAATTTGGCATTAAAACCCACTGTTATTTCTATCACAGCCTTTTCAAGAGCCCAACATTAGCATACTACAGAAAGCTCTGAATGCATAACCACCAGAAAAAACACGGAGGAACAACATTTCCTCAAGGAAAAATTTTAGAACGGCCTCATTTACAAAGGTTCAGCATTTCCTGTTCAAGTTCTTAATGAAATCTTGATTAGCCAAGAGGATTAGGAGACTAGCCACAGATGCGCTCTGTACTATTGAGTCCAAGTTACACTGACTAGACCATAAGAGCTGGCAAAGAGTTGTTGTTTTTTTTTTTTTTTTTTCTAAATTACTCCAAATGGCTTCTTTTTTTTTTCTTTTTTTTCCTGACTGGTCAGTGGGGTTCACTAGTCAACTAATCTCCTTTAAAAGAAGCCTTGGTTTGGGGGGACTCATTAAATAACAGCTGGACAGACCACAACAAAGCAGGACATAGTGGTTTAAAAAAAAATGTTTTTAAGTTTTCAAACTACTTTCAACTTGCCATAATAATGCCATAACACTCATAATGTAAGATGCTCAAAAACAAAAAGCATAAGCTAAAGACATACTTAAATTAAATTAACATGAATTAAAAAAATAATACAAAATTATTGCCAAGGCAACCAAAGATTGCTCAACATTTACCAATGCAAGGAGATACAAACCGTATTTTCACCTTTGCTTGATTTTCAAAGCCAATTACGGGTTGACTGATTTTTGGCCTGGCCAATTATCGAAGTCAATATTAACCATTTATTTTATCGTATCAGCCATTCTCAAAACTAATTTGCTGATGAAATAATTTAAAAGCATTTAAAGAAAGTTTTTGTCAGAGCCTTTGTTATTCTTAATTTTGACACTAATTTTCATTTTTACACAAGATATATAAATCGGTTGAGCTATAATAATCGTTATCGGCATTGGCCCTGAAAAACACATATCGGTCCAACCCTAAAGCCAACTAAATGAAATGGGTATTATTAGCCACTTAAAAGCTAGAGGCAAACATATTACCCTGATATACATTTAAAATCCAAATAATTTAAATCGAATAGTTGCAATGAGCAACACAAAATATTCTGTAGCTCAACAAATCTCAAACATGGTGATGAACAAATGTTAATTCAGTAATATGAACTCTGAACCAATTAGACGGCATACTAACAGTGACAGCAGCCTAAATTGAGCCAGTAAAATGTGAAGTGATTCTCTTTTTAAAATATATTTTGTATAATTTTTTTTAAGCTGCAATGCAGGTTGGAAACTTGCACAACACTGTGCAACGTAAAACTGTTTGTTCAGATGACTCTATTCAGAAAGCTGGAAGAACATTAGGACAAGTCTTGAACATACTTGAGTATACAAGTAAGGTCAACAAAACAACTTGTTAAAACATCTTGTTCAATTCACACATTATAATAGACGACTCCTACTAAATCTTTGTTCAAACTACTTTGCAAGTTGGATTTTTTTTACAGTGTACTAAAATAGTCTTTATATATTTAATCATTTACACATTTTCTTTCCAAACATTTCGGTGGACCCCTAGCACCCTCTTACGGACCCCGGTGTGCCCAGAGACCAGTTTGAAAACCATTCTACTACCAACTGAAGCACAACACACAGTCAACAGGCTACTTAAATCACTACTGTTAATTTAAAAAAATTATCTAAATCTAAAATTTAGCAAGGTCAACTAATCAACCATCTTGACCACATCCCTACTAGACAGGCAGCTCACTAGGTTTAAAAAAAAAAAAAACCATTCACATCCTTTTGAAAAGGCACACTCCACACATCACTGTTCTGTGAACTTCAGCCCTGCTGTGGCTGCCTCAATCAGATAAACACCGTGTTCTCATCCAAAACACACAGTGGCTTCAAAAGGCGGATGAGACGCTCTCCACACACAGATGTGATAAGATGTTCTCTGGAGATTCACTCACCAGTACCAGTGCAACCTTCTTCATACTGCGATTCCCCATGGCAGCTCAGAGAGATTCAGACAGAAATGGTAAAAGATTCGCAGGTCGTCTTCTGTCAGTGCGTCGACAAGTGTGTCGACATCATGAGGATGAGGAGGGTCTGTGCGCTCTTGCATTCCCTCCCCTCGCTCTTCTCCATCTCCGCTCATTTGTATTTCCTCTTTGCTCAAAAACAGATCCAATCTCTCTTTTTTGATTCAAGCTGACCAATACACAACATTTGAAAGAAACTGCTTATGGGTACCACATGGCTTGCCAAAAAACACACACACACATTAATGGTGTGAACGTCTATGGCCTCTGATGTTTACATTTAATGATCCACCACTGCGGCTGATAAACCTAGAAATCCTTCTGTAACCAATGCCATCAATGTTTTGCAACAATAAGGTTGCAAAGGTCTTGAGAGCTCTTTGCTTTTACCCATCATGAAATGTTTCTTATGTGACACATTGGTCATGAGACACCTTTTTAGAGGCCATCAGTTTTGACTGAACCAACTAATATTAATTTCCACTGACTGTGGGCAGGATTGCTTTCTAATTACCGATAGATTTCAGCTGGTGTCTTGGCTCTCGATACCTTTTTGCACCTCTCTTTCTTCATGTGTTCAATACTTCTTCCCTGGGTCATTCCACTTTATTACACAGAACTTAATTTCTGAACATATTTGTTTTGCTTTCTTTGTATGTATAGATTACTTGGATTGTTACTGACATCTGGTTAAAATTAAATGTCAACAGCACCTTTTTCGAAATATATTTACTGAGAAAAATTGTGACGTACTCGATACTTATTTTACCCGCTGTATGAACAGCCAGTCCAGTTAAATAAAGCTCAAAGGCTTTCCTTTTGAGGTCAATGGCAAGTAATAACAGGCATTTTGCAGCAGAATACAAGCCTGCTGTTTGAACCCTCAGACATGGACAGGCCCAGACCAGATCTGCAAACTCTTTCCACAAAAACCCCAAAGAAAATACAAACTTGTGTGCAGATGATATTTGGAATGACATGTGTGTGAGTAAATTACAACATTATTAATTTTAGGTAACTATTTCTTTAACTCAGGTTTCCTCAAATAGAAAACTAATAATTTATTAAAATCATAAAAAGGTAAAATGAAAATAAATTAAAAGGGCTGCACATTTTAAAAAAAATGTAATAAAAGAAAAGAGAAAACTGTAAATGCGATTATCAAAGTAAAAAGCAATGCGCACCAGGATACATTTTTCACATGCAAAAAACTTCCACATTTCTTTCAGAAATAAATTTCAGTAGGGCTGCACGATTGACAAAAATCATAATTGTCGATTATTGTCTTGAAATTGTAATTGCGATTATTAATTACGATTATCACAATTTACATTGAATGATGTTTATACCATTGTTTGATGCAACTGCATGCCGTATTTTTATATGAAAATAAACAAGCCTCAAATGTCAACTTTACATCGGATTGGTTTCTTCTTTAAATTATAAAAAAAAGTAAAAATATAAATTATAGTGTTATACTAAAACTAAAATTAAAACAATAGAAAACCCCTTAAGATAACATGTAGAAAGGAAAAAAAAGCATCGTAAGCACACAGAATAACATAAGTGGACTTTGAACGATTGATTGCCGCTTTGAACGATTACGTAATTGTGGCATCCATAATTGTAATCGCGGTTAGAAATTTGATTAATTGTGCAGCCCTAAGTTTCAGCACTTCTTGCAATGTCAGAATTGTAACAAATAAAAACTTGAGCGTTTAATATGTGAAAATGAAGAATCTAAGAGATATTAGTTTAGTAATACAGTGTAAAATAAAATCTATTAATGATGAATATTTTAATTAAATTGTATTTTTTATCTATATTATAGTCTCAAATTGTAGTACCAAAAACTAAATTGAGCGTAGTATCACAGTAATATATTTCTGTCCTCATTTTTTTATAATGAGATTTAAAAACATTTTTTATTGAGTATAAATGTTTATATTACAATTCAAAATGCATAATGACAAAATCGTAATTTTGACCAAATTGTACACCACTGTTCTATAAACAATTAAAAAAATAATGTAATTTTTTTAAATAAATTTTCGAAATAAAAATAATCATCATAAAACACTTACTTAGTTTAAATATCTAATTTCTTTACTTGCACGTCAGGTAACTCGTTAACCGTGAACATGCAAATGTGTTGTTATATTATCAAAATACTAACTTAAAATCTCAAGGGGGTAACTTTAAGAAAATATGTTGTTAAAGGGGTCCGGCTGACAAAAAAAAAAGTATCTGCTTTAACAAAGAACTTCCATCACCCAAGTGATCATAGAACGTCAGAACTATAGGAGAAATTTCGTTTTAAATTAATCCAGATACTCCTGAACACATTCAATGCATGCCAATATTTTCCATATTATCAAACCAACCTTTATTTGAAAGAATATTCCTTGCAATAATCAGGTACCTAATGTCTGGGCTATGACACAGTTGTAGCTTTCCTTAATCACTCGATAAAATCAAGTCTCAAAAGATGATTGTTTATCTGATGTAAAGCCAAAAATGGCCAGTAGAGTGAGACAAACACCATGATTGCACAAGCCCATTAAAACGTCTGCCCAGATAAGACACTTTTCACTACATTATACTTAATCAGAAGAAGAATTCCATTTATTCATCTGGACTTTAAAAACCAGATCATAGTTCAATTTACTCGCTTACCTTATTCTTCCAGACAGATGGTGAGCTTTGGTGTCGTCGTCCAGAGGACTGGTCCGTGTTATCATTAAAGTCCGACACACTGGTCCTGAGGGAGGGAGAGTGGAGGCCTTCCTCTCCTTCCTCCTCATCTTCAGCCTCCTCCTCCTCCTCCTCCTCCTCTTCCCTCCCACTCTCTCCTGAATGCTCAAACTCATCGCTATCCTGGTCCATTTCCTCCTCATCCTCCGGCCGGTCATCATCGTCTTCCTCTGAACGAAGTCCCACCCCGACCTGCCCTTCCCTTCCGGTGTTATTATTGTCCTCCTCCTCATTCTCCGCCTCTTCCTCGCGATGCCGTCTATGCCGACGATGCTGCTCCTGCTCCCACATCCACTGGGCGCCCTTCTCTGCTCCGTTCACCTCGCTCCTCCGTCCTTCCTCCACCGGCTCACCCCCGGAAGGCCATGGTTCCTCCTCTGCCTCCCTTGGCCGCTCTTGTCCACCCTCTTCCTCCTCACCCGGTTCTCTTCTCTGTTGCTGTGCCACCTGCTCCTGCTCCTCCAGCACCCGATTCATGTGCTCCGCCTGGGGCTGAGGTGTGCGGCCGGAGGTGCTGTTACCTGCCCCCGCTGCCCCAGGCCTCTGCCTCTGCTGCTGGGCCGCCCTGCTGCCGCTGCCCCCCGACAGCAGATCCTGGTTCATTTCCAAAAGCCAGCTTGCTACCTCCTGCACCTTCGCTAGGCTGTCTGAGGAGGACAAAGACTTGGCATTCTGAAAGAGACGGAGACAGGAAATGGTTGAGAGGAGTATAGGTGGATAGTAACAACAACAACAAAAAAGACAATAAAAAGCATGTACATGGGCTGGTTGTATAAAAAAAGAAAACCATTCTCCTGTTTGCATTCAGAGTGTGCTGAAAGTGGGTAACTCATTCTTTTATTCATGCCTCTGAAATAAAACAATGGACATTTGCATCGAAGCTGGGAAAGACGCAATATGAGCATCCCTCAAACAATGGGCACCTCTCCTGCTTGGCAGCCGATCATCTACACTAGGCTTGGCCTGGAAACCACAGCAACAGTATCACTTAAACAACATGCAAACAAACATTTCATCGCTGCTGCCTGTTCTGTATTCAAGTTTCTGTTTTTACTGTTGCATTTCAATTCTACTGTTTTAACCAAAAACCTCTTTATTTTTAGTTAAATGCTCAAATCTAGGTTCTAAAGTAAATGAAAATAAAAACGCACGTTTGTCTAATTGCATGTGCATTGAAAAATAGAAACATACACACTACCATTCAAAATACTGGAGTCAGGAGGTGTTTTTTTTTTTGTTCAACAAGGATACATTAAATTGAAAAGTGACAGGCCACTAGATTTCTATTTCAAACAAATGCTGTTTTAAAAACTCTATTCCCTAATAAACCGTTTCCACAAAAATATTAAGCGGCACAACTGTTTATAACATTAATAAGAAATGTTTCTTAAGCACCAAATCAGAATATTAGAATCATTAATGAAGGATCCCGAGACACTGAAGACTGGAGTAATGGCTGCTGAAAATTCAGTTTTGCCATTACAAGAACAAATAACATTTTAAAATGTATTAAAATACAAAAAATACATTTTTAAATCGTGATAATATATTACAATATGACTGTTTTTACTGTATCTTTCATCAAATAAATTGCTGCCTTGGTGAGCATAATTCAAAAACACTTTTAATCTTCTTACAGACTCCAAACGTTTTTGCATTTTCATCTCGTATTCAAGCAGAACACGCTTTGATACTCTATACACAGTACAGCTATTTCAGACCAATCTCATTTCACCGTTGGGAGCAAGTTGTCTTGTGTAACACTGATTCACTATTCAACTGCAGCACCAGATTCACTATTCAAGTAGAATTCTGACAATCGAAACACTAATGACAGTTACAATAGAACAAATAGTCACTGGCAACCACAAGACAGCCAGCAGGGGGCATCCCTGCCAAATAAGAGCAGTTCATGTATAAGGGTTTAGCTTCCAGACACATACCACACATCTGCAGCAGGATGTACACAATAATATCATGTTACCGTGAGGATGCCCCACCAGTGAGAGTGAGGTTTTGGCACATTAGCCCAGTACTGCAATGTCACTCAGAGGTTTTGTAAAATATGCTTTTTTTAAGTACCATTTGGTTTTAAGGCTAGTGAAATTTCAGTAAAGCAAGTTTAAAAAAATAAAAAGGACCATGCCAGCAGGGAAAAATCCTTATTAAACCTTTAAATTAAACCTTACTGTGCTTACTTCACAGACACAGAAGCCAGTAAAAACAGCAGATAACAGTGTGAGTGAAAGCAGGGATGAGCTGTGTAATCCAATCAGGAGCGCGAGAGCACGTGAGTTTGATAGAGACCTTGATTAAGATAATGCAGCGCACACAGATGGGCAGAGATGGTAAGTGATGAAAGACTGATTTCACAAATGTTGTGTGAGCATAAAATATACAAGAAATACAGCTACAAATACCACTACTTTTTGACAAGACTCAACACCATGCAGAAGTTACCTGTAAAGATGACAAACTAAATTCTCAGTGTTTATTTTTGTAACAAGTTTGAACAAGCGGCCCGGTTCTTGTTTCTAATCTAAAGGTTTCTACAATTACTTTCACTGTTGTCTCCACAGACGCTTTAGTATACGAGTAATAAATTATTGGGGGGAGAGATGCAATTCTTAAGGCCTGTTCAGACCAAGGATGATAACTATAACTAGTTTCAATAATCATTTAATTTTGAATAACTATTTACATTCTACGGAAATAGGGAAATCTACACCTCAACTATAACAATTCATTGGAATAACTTTCAGAATGTTTTTTTTTTTCAGAATGAACGCTCCACCTGACTTTAAAGAGCTTGACCATTTAAAGCAACGATATAAATGCAGTGCGCACTTATAAACAGAATGCTGGACACTAATATAGTCATTGCTAACTTTATAGGCTAATTATTGTTCCAAGCATAAACAAGCCTTAATTGCCCTCAGCTGTCTGTTGCCAAATTATGAGAATTTCAGGTTTCAAACATATACAAATCAGAAATTTTAAACAATTCATTCAAAAAGTGTCTTGTACATTTTTGATTGACTAAAATGAATAAGCTCAGAAGACATTCATTTAGGAATCTGACAATACTGATTGCACTGATCAATCGGTCAAGTCAGGCACTACTAAAATCGCCATATAATATTAGCAAGAAACATTTAATGTATAAGTATTATATACAGATAATTATGAATGATTTTTAATATAGCAACAACATGCTTTATGAGTCCAAATGCTATAGTTACAGCATCTACCACCAAGGGCTAACAGAACCATGATACCCTGCTAAACTTTGTACCATTTCTTTAATGCAAACATCCAGCAGTACTACCATATCCATCATCTATTCATGCATTGGATCTATGCATTTACTCCTCTCCGAGGTCTGGATTAAGGTCTAATCAGAGCAAATATATGAAGCCAGAGATCTCAGGGCAATTTAAAACCGTTTAAAGCATCTGATTAGATGAGCTTTTTGATTAACGAATCGTTTCCTTTAGAACACGGAAGATGAGAGCACAATCAGCCGAGATCCAATTGGAAAATAATTACATGGCGATGAACTTCAAATAGACATTTCAATTTCCCTTCCTGTACAGAGGCTTATAACAAGGTGAGCTCTATAAGAAAACCTGTGCAATCTCTGGAGATTAAACTGAAATTTGGTTAGTCCATTAGCATGCTCAAAACAATTACTTAGCTAAGAGTTAGATGCATCTCAATGCAAATGCAAACACAAAGCGGCTGTGCCTGGTGAAGTGGGCCGTTCTGTTTCTGGAAGATGCTGGACTGCCTGTTAGTATTCATGTCCTGCATGCTGGCCTATCTGTGCAACTGCATTAGACTCAGAACACAATTAGTGCTGTTAGACTGCACAACTGAACTAGTGTGTGATCAAGTGACAGTACTGCAATCTAACTGGCAACACACACACATGATTACATTAAGCCTCATTTGCATTGAGGCCGAGACCGTTAAAGTGTATGAAAACTGCCTTAACAACAGTAATTTGGTTTAGTACGCTTCACAGATGCTGCTTGCGGCTCATCCCGCCATAGGTTTCTGCATTTATTGAGGACAGATGAGTAAGTATATGCTCTATAAAGTGGGGTACTGACGGTCAGAAGTTCCAGATACATGTTTAATGACTAGTTGGAGTCTCCGTAAGAAATTATCAGAATGAAAAAAAGACTTTTGAGGGTTAATGAAAGGATCCTCATTTTTTTGCCCTGATGTGTGAGAGATTGATTTATTTTATACACTTAAATTAAAATTCATACACACAGAATGGCTTGAACATAGGCACCCTCCTCAGTTAAACATGTTTTTAATTTATGAATTAAAATTCATTTCGATTTTTTGCGGGGAGCTTAAAGTCAAAAATAAAGAAGAAATATAATGTAGAAAAGGATAATGTTTTTTTTTCTAGCTAATGAACAACAACAACAAAAAATTGACAGACAGCCAATCAAAATCCATCCGAGTGGGGAGAGAGAGGAAAAAAGGAAATATAGCAGTACCACTGAAGACCCTGAAAGTGTCATGGTCAATATGTCTCTTAAAATATTAGATAATCAGATTTTGACAGCAGAAGGGTAATTTAGACCATAAAATCCCATGTGGTGCAACTCCGCAAAACTTAATATTTATGAATTTCGAATTCACCGAGGGAAAAAAAACACTAAAAATGCATGTAAACTTAAGAATTAAATGAGTAGGCTATTTACACGCATGTATTCAACATGGAAGGAAAATTTTACTTTTTGATTATATCATATGCCGCATGACATTTTCTTAAAAATAGTATAAAAGTTAATCAAAGCCATACGAAACCAACATGAACAAAGACTACATTTCTACGAACTTGGTAAGTTTTTTTAACTTTTAGTTTTTTCTCTTTTCTTTATTGTTGACACTCATTTGTCATTGCCCCTCAAATCACTTGGGAAAACATCTGAATCATTCAGGCTGGGTATTTCACCACCACAAAATAACCCAAAGTGCCTGGTTTGAATTGAGCTGTAAGTGTACTCCAAGGGAACTAGAGAAACAAAGTTGAAGCAAACAAGTCTATCACAAATTCATCAAATTCTTGCATCAAAAGCCAACAAAATGGACCAAAAACCAACATGACTAATGAATACGGCAGAGTTTAATGCGATGACACAGGAAAAACTCCAGAAGGTTTATAATAGCATTGCTTTTCAGACATGCGCTCTGATATTGAGAACTGGAAGCATTGCCTTAAAAAGAGAAGCATTTGGCTTGGCTCCCGGGAATTGCGGCCAGCCTGGCGTAGTCGAGCAGTCTGATAAGAGAGTGAGGTGCATCATTTCTTTAGTTATTACCACTGTGTACACTTCAGCAGCAGCTCATTTATCTACATCTAAAGGGGCTGAGAGGAAGGTGAAGCCAAAATGGGTTTTGGCACATCCTCTCAGAGAGAACGTTAGCAAAGGAGGTGAAGGGGAGGAGGAGAGAGTTGTGGTATTATTGGTTTTACGATGTCATTTCCTACAAAGCTGCCAGACTGCCATCTCCTCTTGGACACCTCAGTTACAGGAAGCATTACGAACGAACAGGAAAAGGAAGAAAAGAGAGGGTTATTTTTGATTAACCTCAGTGGTACCTGGATGGGTCTTTATGATAAGAACCAAGATAAATAAAGCGAAAGC